CGCATCCTTCTCCAAAAGCTGCAAGCATACGGAGTTGAAAACCCTGTCCTTGGATGGATCGGAAACTTCCTCTTTCAGCGGCGTCTTCAGGTTCGAGTTCGAGGTTCATTTTCTGATCCAATTGGTGTGGACTGCGGTGTTCCACAAGGGTCGGTGTTGGGACCCCGATTATTCTTGTTTTTCATTAACAATCTTGCGAGTGTCGTCAAGTCAATTTTCCTGCTTTTTGCTGATGACATCAAGATCTGGAGGGCAATCGACTGTGATGAGTATCAAGATATGTTGCAACGAGACTTAACTGCGCTTTCGAATGGCCAAGGCTAAATGTACATCCGTTTAACACGGACAAGTGCAAAACCGTGCATGTCCTCCACAAGCCCACGTAGGCATATAAGCTTGGAGAGGATATGCTGAACACGGCCTCAAAAGAGCGAGAGCTTGGGGTGGTAATCCAAGACAACCTCGACTGTTCGGCGCAGTCCTTGAAGGCGTCCAAAACTGCGAACCAATATGTTGGTCTGTTACGGAGGACGTTCGGAAGGTTCGATCTCTCTATTTTCCCCCAGGATGCGCAATGTGTATGTGAAGCCCCAAGTAAAGTACGCGATCCAGCCTTGGCAACCCAGGTTAAAACGCGACCTGGTTGCACTGGAGACCACACAGCGACGGGTACCGAAAAATGTAAAGAGTTTGTCACGTCTGCAATACTATAGGCGACCGAAAGCCTTGGGACTGTACAGCGGAAGATATCGTCGTCTATGAGGTGACCTCATTATGGCGTACCAGATTTTGAAGAAAACCCGGTCACGCTTGCCGAGACATCCTGAAGCTTAGCTGCAACACAGAAGTAAGGGGTCATAAATTGAAACTGGCCATCCAATACGGTCAGCTGGAGTGCCGCCGGAAGTACTTTCCCCTTCGAGTTTGTCAACCACGGAACGCTCTTCCGATTTTTTCATTTCAGAGCCTACGATACCCATACCTTTAAAACGACGACGATGCTTTACATCATTTACACCACTTGATCTGATTTCTATTCATTGAGTGAGGATAAGACGCAGACAAACATGAAAGCGAGGTAGACGGATTTATCTATGTGTTAACGTGGATAATATGGTGAGTCCGCAGATGTGTTTATCACTTTTGTGTAACTTCAGTGAACTAACTTTATTCCCACAAACCATCCCACTGGACTTGTTAAGTCTTGGCTTTTTTTTATCCATATTATACCCTCGTTCCATTGTTTGAAAAATTTGTGCGTAGAAGCCGTTTTATGCAACCAGAACTGCCTTGACCACTGGAGACCTGTAAAGCAGCTATGCGATAAGAGCTCTAGTAATCAGCTTGGTTCCATGGATGTGGGTAAGCGCAATTCTGAATTCTGTTCTCCGCCAAAGGAAGTATTCGCCTAGCCTACATTCTCTGGTTCCGATCTAACATTCACATTCCAACAAGTTGAAGTTTACTGAGAACTCAGGAAGTCGAACGCATAAAGGCTAGCAGCCCGACGCTGCCTCAACAGTTATCTTCAAAGAGTGTGTCGATATCTTTACCATGCCACCGATTGATCTCATCAATCGTTGCCTGCATGCTGACACTATTGGGACATTTGGACGCTCGTCAGGATGAGGTCCCTGCCAAAAAAAACCACTCAAAGGCTTAGAGCGACTACCTTTGACTTTGATGCCAAAAAACACTCCCGCTGAGGAAGTATATCAGTTTGCCTAAAAACCCCGACATTTCACGTTGGATGCAGTAGTATAATATGTTCCCACAATAGCATCTGCAATCGATGCGAAATGCAAGATTGTACGCCTTTCCCCATTGATTATTCCAACACTGCTAGAAGTGTCGACAGGGAGATAATGATGTTTAGCTAGCAGTGTGCACACCTAATGAGCAAATATTTCGCCAATCCCTCCCATTTCACATAACAGGAAGGTACGATATCACGCTTCGAGATAAATGGGGCGTTCCTTTTCTTTAGAAAGAAAATTTTCCAAATCTACCCAACTTTATCGAATGAAAGCACCATGACGACGTAATTCTAAGCAGCACTGCTCCCATTGTTGAGTCATCAACGGCCCTTCAAAGCGGGTTGGATGAGCTTCATCGGTGGTTGTCGTCCCGATCCCTTATTCGCAACGCTTTTAAATGCCGCGTTATAAATTTCGCTCTACCGCGCACTGGCAAGCGCTTCTCCCCCCTATGGTCGTGAGCGATCACACCATACTCAGTTCACCCAATGTCTAGTACCTTGGTGTATTTTTATCTCATTCTCTATCACGGTCGATACACGTTGGCAAAAGGTTCCACAACATGAGCATATTGTCCGATGCCATGAGACACAAAATGCTCAAGTTCCCCGGGTTTTATTTATAAATTCCTGACTGATTGTATTCTTCTTCACTGGCTATATTGGTCACCAATCATTTGTTCCCGCCGTTTTACAAATAGCTTCACAAAGTATGTTGTTCGGAGGCACGATTTCACAAAATACAAACAAATTGCAGCACCGTGAAAGCAAAACAAATATAGGAAAAACATATATTTAAATATTTCCAACTCAACGGATGCTCGTGAAGCTTCATCCGAACAGACAGTCTACACCAACGACGGACAGATGTGTTGTTTTGCTATTATATAAAGAGCATATCCGAAATGGCGGCCAGACTACTCAAACAGCATTACGTCATTGTAGCACTCAAACTAACCTCCAAGTTGAGGAAAACCCGGTCAAATACAACGGAAAAACGAGAAGTGCATGGACGATGGAATGTCATATACAAGCATTTACCTCGCCTTAATTCTGTGGTTCCGGCCCAATAATTACATTTCATCACGTCCGAAGTCTACCGAGTGTGCTAATATTTTCACCATGCCTTCGAGTGACCTCGCTGCGGAAACCGCGAAAAGGACAATGTTGGCCAAACAGGAAGAAGAGAGGCAACAAGGATATAACAGCCTAAAGTCTGCGAAAAGCACTCCATATCATCCCTAGTTTCAGTGCAAGTGGACGAAGAAGGATACAGCTTTCATCGGCCAAAAAGGAGTCCTGGCACAAGGCGAAAGAAGAAGGGAACGGGAACTCCTGGAAGTTTGGTTCTGCATGAATAACGCAATCAGTACTTGTATCGACATCGACTCAGTGTACGAACCAATCCGTTAGAAAGAAATCGGACGAATTTTGGGACACCGCTTGCAGCAGAACTCGAAAGAGGACTTCAGCCAGGAAGAAAATGGGCAAAGATCAGAGGGCGCAAATCGCGGATGTCACTATCAAAAGTCAAACGCATGTCGATTGCAGATCAACGATTCAATCTGTAAGACGGCATCGTGCATATCATCACAATGACGATGACACTTCGCAGGGAGACGAAAAGTATGTAACCACACTTCCAAACTCAGCAAATAAATGAACAACTGAAAATTCACACAGATTGTGTGTTCCAGGTGTAGTGCAATGTCCAGAGTCTCTGTTTGATTTCATCATCGCTAATCATTTTAGTGCGTCTGTTTATTTCTTAGAAGACGTGTTGACTGATCATTTTCAAGCCCTGCATGATGATTTAAGGAAAGCTGTGTCCTGTTCGTCTAAGCGTATAAAATCTAAGGTTTACTAGCGGAAAACTCTCTTACCGAATTTATATCATTTACTCGTGGATTCCAATACTAAGCATAAAAGTTTAATTGTGTGACGTACATACATATTTTATCGATGCCCATGGATTGTGACTTTAAACTAATGTTATGCATTGCTAGTGTAAAACGCTGAAAAGCATCCCAGTCAGGTGCATGAAGCCTGTGTTGACTTCAACTCGACTAGGACTTTGACGATGGATGATTCATCCATCCCGACTAGCATATACGTATCCTTCGATGATCAATCAAATGATTTTTGGCTATTTTGTTCTCCATTCGATCTTGAACGTTACAAATCAAAAACAAACCAAAAGGATTCACTACCAATCCTCAATACTCAAGTCGCAGCGCTGTTTAGGCAGACTGAAACCAGAGAAACGGATTGGGGCTGTGAACAAATTTGAGCAAAGAGCCGAGTGCAGTAAAGTGAGCCAAATCGCACGAGTAAAGTCCAACACACAGATCAGCAGACTCAAGGAGAAGGCACATTGTCAGTACCTAAGGGGCTTCGACTAATAAAATTGGTCAGATAACCGATTTCCCGATGTATTTCTTACATGAGAATCACCTCCAGACCGGGTGGCACGAGACGAATGCTTGTCGGTCCCCTGCATACAACCAGTTTTTGTAGCTACAAGGAAACAGCATGTGTCGGTATAGTGTAAGGGCTAGCAAAGACAGAAAAACGGATTCGACTCCCACTACTGGAAACATTCCTGAGTTGTGACCAATTAGTGGTGCAGGCACCAAGTGTAATGTTCGACAACTGTGCGGCGGCGAGTAGAGATGGTGAAGCAACAGATGTAGGTTACACAAAGGGCTTTCAATAGATAATAAAATAGTTCAGCTGACAGATAGCTCAACGGTGTAATTTGGCTCGACATAAGGCACCGTGTTGGGCTGTATCCGCCAATGAGAACCACCAAAGACGCATGCTAGTTTTCCATGGCAGATTGGAATCATCCTTCTCATTTGGCAAACGATAGGCTAACTTCCATAGGGTTGAGGTAGAATGAAAGTAACTAATAAAACAACTTATTCTTGCTGTCTGACTGCCTTGTATACAAAACTTAAGTACGAACGACCTCTTGCGACAAGAGGTGCTCAAAAAGTGGAAGTTGAAAGGATCAGAGAAATTGCTAACAAGCTCTTCGGATGACCTTATGTGAAAAGGATCCATAAAACCCTAGACCCAGCATAAAAAGAGGGGTTACGTCAACTAACTACGCGCCAACAATAAATAGTTCACGAATCGAAGATCCGAAGTATCAGTAGATGAGGTAGCTAAGAGTAGCCTAACATGAAACTTTTCGCCCGAACAATAGACTGAGAAGTGAGAACACAGCTGACGACATTACCTCATAAAAGGAGAGGCAACATCGAGGCACTGATGATTTGTCAGTAGATCCTAAATCCGTGGGATCGCGTGCAGTTAGACAGGAACTCGCCGAGTTGGAATGTGAAGGGTGCACCCGCTCAGTCGGCAGGCCGGAGGATGGGGAGGTGGTCGCCGTCATCGTCTTCGCCGTGGACCGGTAGTGCAATCCAGGCCCGAGAGTGAGACTAACTGGAGTGGCTACGGCGAAGCGTAGTGCATCCGATCGACACTTGTCCAAATCGATATCCGGGAAGTTGGACAACACGGTGCATATTTTCTCCAAGCCAATAGACTGAAAGTGAGGTAAAACCATGGAGTAGCACACAGTGTGGAACTGGTCTGAAGAGAGGAATTGACGATATGGTGGTTATTTGGTGTACATGCCATAAGGAACAACAAAAGCATGATCCATATGTCTCTGCCGCCAGATTGGCTGAGATTTGCTTAGACAAATATACTGCTGGTTAGTTAATATAATACTAATAGTACACAAAGATAACAGGGTTATCAGTTAAGTTGTAGCAACACGATAACACTAATGCCAGAATATTCCCAGATAATTGAAGTACAGTAGGCTAGATGGATAGGGTAAAACGCTTGCGTACAATAAGATCGAACAACAAGATGAGCAGCCTAGTTGAGTAGGTGACTCAGAAGAACAAATCTCCAAAAGTACAGAATATTGGACAGCTGGAAAGCCATCCTTGTGTGTACACATGGATGTACGGTTAGAAAGTTATAGTAAGTGAAGTGAAATATCGTGCAAACGGAATCTTATAAAGTAACTGTGAATGCTCATTGCACGACAACAGAAAAAGGTTTGATATTTAAGTGATCTCGAACAGTGATCTTGCTTAGAAGTAATCTGATAAGGGGCGTAGCGTAAAAGTAACAACTGCAGAGACGGTTAAACATACGTATTTTCGGAAGTAAAAGAATGAGAAAATGTCAGACTATATGAAGACTAGTCAAGTGCGGAACGCAAACGCAGTGGGATCAAGTGGACCATGTCCTGTGAAAGAGCATGAAGCATAACTCAAAACCTACAAAAGATGAAAAACTACGCAACAAAAGTGGGACTAAACAAGTAACGAAAGGCGGTATCTTCGGTGGACGTCAAAAAGAGCCTCACACCGACAAGAAGGTAACTGGGATAATTAGTGTAATCTTTCGAAGGCCACAAAAACCGCAGCGGTATATAGCAATCTAGAGCTAATGAATTGCCAACATATTATCTTGGTGCAAAAAACCTACCGTCCTAACCAAACATCAATGATTGCAAAACCTACTCTGCGTAGTATATTTCTATTGATAGCATGGACAACATTCTGATATTTCGAATTCAAAACTGATTTTCTAAAGCAGATGGCATGATTATCATTATCGTTACAGGCTAACTAAATGCAAGAATCTCACTTCTGCTGAAGTGTCGCAACACAAAAAATATAAGAAAACGCGAGACACAAAACAATACACAGCATGAAAATGAATAAAATGCTATAGGTAACAAATTCGTCACATCTAAACTCACTCAGACAGCTGTCCTACGCCCGGAAAGGCACTGCACGCGCGTTTCATCCTTTCGGGAACCGTCAGCCGTGCGCGTACAGTACTTTCCGGGCGTAGGACAGCTATCTGAGTGAGTCGAGATGTGATGATTTTCTACCTATACCATTCATTTCCCCCTACTACTCCTCTGTAATAAGTAGTATAATTCCAAGTACCATATTACGTTTGGGATGAGATCGTGATTGGAGGGGAGAGATAGGCGGGATAGGCAGAGACAAAAAACTCAATATACAAAACGCCATTGGGGTCGGCTCTTCATTATGACAACAAGTGTGCTTAACCAAACGTGCTGTTGTTTGGACCCCAGCCCGGCAGTCGGAATACATCGACGGACACCAAGTTCAAAGTGAGGGACTTCATTCCTCTTGACCAAGTCATCATTTGGCCTACCCTCCACTTATTTCATCCATACCCCAGTCACGCAAACAACGCGCATCGCGGAGGTCGGTGTGCTAGCATGAGTAACACGTGGCCCAGTAATCGGAATCTGGTGCGTAATACAATAGTTCTAAGAGGTTCACTCGCTCTTCTTATACCAAATACGCGACGCCTAACGCTCATTGTTCACGCGGTGTTCTCACCAGATGCGAAATAAGCTGTGAAAACAGCGATTATCGAATGGAACATGACTTTCGTGTCCCTCGATCTAGTGGGTTAGGTTTCGCAACCACATAAGTGTCGAACGGACGTCTGCGTTGTAGACTCTACCCTTAAGGGAGAGAGTGAGGTAGCGCCGGCGCCACAGGTGGCGGATATCGGCAAACGCGTCTCGAGCTTTTGGTTTGAAGATCGTGGCTTCATCTTTTATTCCACAAGCGCTAATATAGCTGCAGATATGCTTGAATTTCGGGACGACTTATAAATGATCACCAACAGGAGTCAGCGCAGTGATGTATCCATGCCAATCTTGGAGTAGGGATTTGCACTTCGAAGGTGCAAAGCATAGCCCGAAATGGCTGGACAGTCAGTGTCAATTTGTTCAGTGCTTTCTGGCACGTTTGGGAGCTGTTACAGACTAGGACAATATCGTCGGCGTACTCCAAAAAAGAAGTCCATGACGTGAAAGTTCCATACCTTGTAGGTCGTGTCCAGTGAACGCAGTTTTCCTAGCAATACACCATGTTTGTTTCCGTGTTAGCCTCCTAATTGTCATAAAGCGAGAAAAGGGTTAACATGGGAATAGGTCGTCATGCTTAGGCGAAAATGCGAAGTTCCACGTTGCCATTGCGATGAAACCGAAGGGAACGAAACTCTGTACCCCGCCTATCCGCCCATAGTTACCCACTCAAGCAACTAGCTGCCCCAGGGACAAAATTGTAAGTGTACACGTAGCGATGTGGAAAGAAAGCGTTTCTTTGCAGAACGGAAAATTTATGATATTGTCTTCTTAACAAAATTCCGCGTTTCATCGATATCACTACGCCTGCAGTTGCTAAGGCAGCTAGTCACTCGTGTTGAAAAGTAGGGTGGAACAGCGGTAAAATACTGAAGCAGGGGCACGAACCCAATCAGAGTTTCGTTCGTTCCCTTCGGTTTAACCGAGATGTTCCTAATGCCTAACGATAAGGTTGGAATGGACGTGTTTTATGCATCTAAAAAGTATGGCCAAGTTCCATATGCCTCAGAGAACACCCGAACAAAAGTGGACAACAGTTGTTTTTCTGTCTGGAAGAGTTCTTCTAAGGTTGGACTATTAGTGCAGCTTCACCACTCAGAGGCCTCAGCATCAAACAGACTTTGAACAGATAATCCGGGTAGGAGAGGCCTAACACGCGTCACTGGCTCTAACTGTGAGCCATGTCCTATACAGGACAGGTTTGAATTTATGCAAGAAGCAAATAGCGTAGACTCCTGCAAAGCCAGACAGGTCAACAGCACCATGAGCTGCAGCTGAGCATCTTAGAGCCGATATGCAAAATCCAGTAGATAAAATCGATTATCGGTGCGAAAGCGAGAAACCCAGTATATGACCGTTGGAAACGGAGACCACACAGGTCTAAACACAAATGGCAAAATTCCCATAGCCGCACATGTGGCCCATTTATTACATGACTAATTGGGCACATATTGCATGTCCGAAGAGATGTGAATCCACCCTAAAGAAACATGATAAGCCTAGCGGGCTCCCTCAACACGTTGCCAATAGAGGATGGTCACAAACAGTTGGCTAGTGACTGAACATAGGGTGAAATCCGTGGAACAGATTGCTTCACTACCCTAAAGCATACTCGACCTCACTCCACATATAATTCAGCATCAGGCATAATTTAAACAAGTAGTCTGACTAAAAAACGACCGTGGACGCGTCATTGGATCTGTTCGCAGGTCGTGTCTGTTATTGTGAAATCATTCCCCTAATAAAGAATTGCTGGAAATAGAGAACACGTAAGTTCGAACCGAAAGTGTGCAATCTCTATACTCGCCAAAGCGGCCCATTCAATTTGTGGCTTATCGGGCTCGTACTGCGCACCTTAAGAGACGCTGTTCTCTCCAAGGCAAACATAATAGCCAGAAATGGCAACACAGACACTCGGCGGCGCATGCAATCGCGGCGCATAGACCCAGCAAAGTATAATTCGTCTCCTGATCGAGATGAAAACACAAATAATAAAGTGTGAAAATATAAGTAGGTTATCAAGAAGATTGTCACTCACCTCGAAGTTAATCTGCTGATCTAACTGCAGAAACACAGCAATGTAAAAGAACATGGGCAATGATGGTGGGCCGGCAATTAGAGTGTCCCATATCACCTCTGTCCGATCCAGCGGCATAGCATGCGAGAAGAGCGTGTATACCCAGCCGGTGGTCAGACCAACCAGTGGCACGTTGAGGTCAGTGAGGCAGACAGCCAAAGCTGGAGCGTGGAAGGCGAAAAGGCGGAGTAGTATGTTGAAAAACGCCTTTAAACCTGCAGTGAACTGACCGACAGCGAAGAAGTGTGACAACTTTGTGGAGAAGAGTGCCTGCAAGCAGGCAGCGGCCAGAGCATCATCTGGGTAGCATAAACGAACAAACACGGCGGCGACAGAATCCATGCCCTGGAAAGAAAAAAGAAATAGGTTAACGGCTAAAAATGCAGTCCTCAAGGGTGCGTAAAAGCGCATTACTGAAAGTCGTATGCGAAGTGCGCGAAAGGATTGGGGATATTGATGCAAGACGGAGGAAATCACATAGCTGCGCAGAAAGAATGCACAACAGCATACAATATCGCAAGATTGAGTGAAGAGTGGCGTCGGGTGAAATAGAGGCCGGGTGCCAAGATCTCGGGTGAAACAAGTGAGAAATACCCATTTGTATTAGAGGATCTAAGGGAAGACACAGTGCAGACAGTTAAACTAGGGGGAAACCAGGAACAACTAAAGAGCAAAGGAAGTATATCGTGAAACCGAGTAAGCAAGTACGTAAACGAGCAGCAGGATGCGAGGAATTCTAAGCCAGTGCTTCATCATACAGGGAGAAGATGGATCAATGAGCAGAGGCGTACAGGTGCATGCAAACACTGCACATCGGCTGAGGTGACGGGTACGAGGGTGAGAACGCACCATAGACACTTCGGGCTAACCTCGGGCGTCCGTCATTCGTGCGATAGCCAGAGTGAACGCTTTAACTACTCGGCCAGAGCAGGGTCTAAATGCGTCGGGAGACGGCCAAAATGATGGATGAAGTCAATGGCGTAAGTTGATTTGCAGTGAATATCGATGGAAGCATAACACTAAGCAGTAATGTGCACACCTCAGTGATTCGACGACCCAATCAGAATGGCGATTTCAAATGTCCACGCTATATGAACTAGTATAAGTATGGTGTACAAACGAAAAGCGAACATCCATCACATGAGAAACAGGCAAGGGGTTGACGTGAGCGCTACTCAAAACGCGATTTCGGTTCGTGGTGACTGGGGCTGGTGAAACGAGTGCTCAAGTGGGGTACACATAGGAGCCCTAACATATCCGAGTGCGTCGTTCTGGAGCAAAGCACCTCGTATTAATAATCGTGATCAATTGCAGTATGAGCAGAATCTTTCCACATAAACAGCGCTTTCCAATACACGAGACCGTACTACCCTGTTTGATGCATACAACGGGAAATAATGACTTGGACTCTAACTCAGCCACGGTGAAGCGCGTAGATGCGAGATCAATGTCCAGCATCTCTACTCTAAGTTAGAAGGTTTCCGCAGCAAATAAGAGCCAAATTATCTCTATTGTAAGGCGAAGATCGTAATGTACTTGAACCTTATCGCAATGTGATGGTCTGCGTGTCTCAATAAACCATTGAGCTAAGCTGAGTGGTGTTTTTTTCAAGTTTCAGAGCCGCTCATACCAGATGCCAGATTATCTGTCTCCTGGTTTTCTAGGTTGGAGTGAAGGTGGCTCATTACTCCACAAAACGGACTCTGCGTAGGACAATACCAAAATCTTGCTGCCTTGCGGTCAATTTTTTGAACTCTAGGCTTTGATAGAGAATGCTAATCGTTATCCCGTTTGGGCCTGGCCGACCTGACAGTATCCTGTTAGTGTAATACAATGAACTTCTCTGAGCCTGGTAGAAGATAATCAACAGTGACCTATCTGCTGCATCGATATGGGTGAGAATGCTACTGGTCAAATCTTCATCTCCTATACCTTTTCCATCCATATCGTTCCCTTCCAAGTTCACTGGATCCCCTTTGGTTTCAACCTCCCATTCTCGACCCTCTCCCGCCTTGCTTTTACATGTGTTTGTTTTACAGTTTTAACTAATACAATCGCAGAGAGTCACTTCTGCCTTGTCGACAAGTTCACGTTCAATCACGTGGACAACTTCAGTCCGTCAGTTTCTGTTTGGAGCCATTGATGTTCGCTTGGACTGGCATACAGTAGTTTATCGGAAACCCGCCGGCAGGACGAGATGTGCTCTCTTTAAGATGCTATTCAAGTGAAATTGGCGGTACTTGCACAGAGACTTTCCGGAGATGATGTATTTTCAAATGATGGTCAAACCAGTGCGTATAGTGTTCTGAACTTACAAACTTAAACTGCTCTAGTCGAGTGGATCCCAATCAACATCCGTATGTGCGCCGTCCCATTGGCTGGATTGTGCAATTTTGAAGTTATGTGAAGCCAACAGATGCCTGCTTGTCATTGTAATCTACGCATCTACAAACGGCAGCGCTGACTCCGTAAGATTATCTCTAGTACCAAGTAAACGAACTCCTCCGTTACAGCAAAAGTATGGATACTGTGGTGTTAGCTGGCGATCTGAGAGCCCAAATTAGCCAACCATTCACCGATAGGCTGCATCTGGGCGGCCGACGTGGTACAGGTTTCCGCAATATAGAACAGTGAGCGGTTTCTACACTTGTGTGAAGCTGCTCGCCTAATACTCGCGAACCCTAACTTCCGACACAGCACCCGCAGAAGAGTGACATGGAGCCCACCAGCATCAGATCAGCTATGGACGCAAATCGATAACATCGCGATCACATACCCACGGAGAGAACGAGTCCAAAACTTCCGCTCAATTTGGAGCACCAGCGTGGATGCCGACCACGCACTTGTATGTGCTGTTTTCAGGGTAAGTTTCGCCGGACGCTCGCGGAGGTACTGTGAGTGCAAAGACATAGGCCAACTGTTGAAACCGGAATGGGCATCAAAGTATGCTTGTAACAGAGCCGCGTACGACCTCATTGAACACAGTTGTAGTTCACTGGTCACATGTTCGTCATACGTTATTAGCAGCAGGCATATCTTCACGCGGTAAATCTGTAAACCTGAAAATTGGGTCCCAACAAAGTCTCTGGATGGATGCTCACCGACTAATTCTGGCTAGAAACGAAGATGTTAGGGCGAAACTCTGCTAGCCTGAAGAGAAACAGGGGAAGTCTGGTGGTCTCATTGTGCATCAGAGATGGAAATGGCTGCTGCTGTTGGTAACCACTGTAGTTATTCCGTCTGATATGTGAAACGAGAAGTAGGGAGACTTGGCATCAGCGAACCTATGTGCGATAGCACTGGAAAATCTATTCACAGCCAGTCAAAACGCTTGGAGCATTCCGGTGGGGAAATTGAAAAACGACTGCTGTGTTCACTAGACCATCATTTTTGATCCACTCTCGTTCAGAAATTGTACGGGAAATCAGTGCTGAAGATGCTTTAGGCCGAAGAGCCCGATGATTTCCCTCTAGCCCTCTTCAATTTCGAGAGACCTTGCTGCGGTGGAGGAGAGACAAAATTTATTAGTGAAACTGTCCCAACCAAATAGAGCAACAGCTTTCCAATTTTCAAAGATAGATTAATTAAGGAATACCGTGATCATAGAGCGACAAGTCTGGTCTCCATCACATCTGATGTATTGGCCGGTTCCGTCATTCACTGGATGGTTGGTGCCTGTGAAAGCCAAATTCGAGAGCAGCAAGCCGGGTTTCGTGCAAATCAGGGATGCAATGATCACAGTTTTACCTCAAGTCAGATGTTGGAGCAGCGTCCCTTGTAATGGAGAACCACGACAGTCGTGTACCGCGACATCAAAGATGCACTCGATTTGGTAGCTCGATGTGACTTTTGGGACTGTCTACCCAGGAGAGGTGTGTTCGAGAAATATGCAAACATTATCAGAGTGCAACATGAGCGGAGTGCGGGAAGTGAGTAGCCTTATGGGAAGCTATCGCTGCCAATCAATATCGCCAACGGCGCGAGACAAGGTAGAGCATTGTCAACTTTCTCCTTTAAATTCGCCATCGATGAAGTCATGCAAAGTGCGTTCACTTGACACGGCCTAAGTGTAGAACTGCTCCCAGGTGATTGACTTTTGATTTGAAATACGTCGAGGACATTGCTCCAATCTGACAGCTCCTAAACATGCAAAAAAGCAATGGACAAATTAGCGTTGGCCGTCAACCGTCTCGGGCTATAATTTGCACCTATAGAATGCGTTTCCTAAGCTGACCTTTGTTGGAGATTAGCTAAAAAGTATTCAGAAATTAAGGTACATGAGTAACTCTATCATAGCCCGTAGGATAAAAGATGAGACCAGGAACCGTGTACAAAAGCCTCGACGTGCTTTTGCCAATCTTCGTCATATGCGGGGCCCGTGCGACGGCAATCCCGCCCTGAAGGACACAGTAGAGATTGCAGCCATCCGTACAATCTTACTGTACGACTATGTAACCTTCAAGTTAAATCTACAGACATAAAGATGTTTAGTACGTTTGATCACCGGTGTTTTCGCGGACCAGTTCACAACTGGTGGGAACACTGCATAATCAATCAGCGTGTTCGGTATCATCTTTATGGCGCAGGAAGAGCGAGTGAACCGGCCAACGAGGTCATATCGCGCACCAAGTTCGGATGATTGGGCCACGTGTTGTGCATGCCAGCACACTGAGTCTCGCGATGTGTTGTTTGCGCGATCGGGATGTGGATGGAAGGAAAGAAGGGGGCAAAAGAATGACTTGATCAAGTGAAATTAACACCACTTCGAAGTTGGTATCGTTTGGTGTCTCCCGACTGCCGGGCTGGGGTCCCAAGGGCAGTGAATACGTTTGGTTGCATACACATGGAGACATGGCGAAAAACCGAATACAATCGCGTCTGCGTTATGAGTTTCTTTATACCGCCCAAACGTGCTTAGGCTCTACCTCCAACCGTGACTTCGTTGTTAAGCCATGATAACAAACGAAACAAAAAGGTTTGTTTTGTCTTGCTGTTTTATTCGTTTCAACTACTGCCGGATTGAATTGTAGTGCGACACAATAGATGGGGTGTTTCTCCCTCCTAGCTAATGAGTGATAGAAATGAACGCGAACAAGCGAGCGAGCGAAGAAGGCAGCGGAGGCCGTCGGTTCAGCAAACAAGGGATGGCTTGTTGGCAATCCGATGCGTGTGGCTGTAACCAGAAATGATTCATCCGGGTACTCACTTGTAATAGCAGATACACATTGCGACATTACCCGAGTTAATTGCATAGCTTATAAACTCAACAAATACCGAGACAAAAAGCGATTTACATAGTTTGATGGTTTTACACAAATGCAACAACATCCTCAAACAACGGTGAACCGCTCACCTGAGTATATTCCAAAGTAGTAGGTTGCATAGAGAGAGTGGAGACCAAAACTTGGCGTAGACTCGCATGTCCAGAGGGAGACGCAAGTAAAGCATCGTAGGCATGACAGCGAGGCAGATCAACGGAAATCTGGTTGGCCGATTTCTCATCCAGTTTTCCGTAGTGTGGGATTCCGAGTTCACATGCATCCTCGACTTCTCTTCCACAGGCCGTCGCTACACATGTCGCCGCGTATCGTTCTCGAAATGAGCCATCCCTGTGTATACCAAGCAATGCAGCCCAGACCTGAATCGCACAGGGATGAAGTCGATTCCGTTAGGCAGAGGAGTGGAAAAAACTGGCGTCAAGGTAAAACGCGGACACTTTCTTGAAGGTAATGAATAAATCACAACAGAAGTGAAAGGCAAGCAAGTCGTTTGATTCCACCTGATACCTGCCACTTGATTTGCGAAGGGTAAAAAGATATGGCACTGGTCGGCAAGACGTAGGCTGTGAGATGACTCGGTGACCTCGTGTATCTCGCAATCACTAATATGCGATCAATACCAATTAAATAAATGCAAAATAGTCAAGTCGGATAGACTGGTGCATTGTATACGACGAATGGATGTTGTAATGAATACATCGCCCTGCGGGAGACTGAGGGCTTCTGAGGCAACCAGGTCTCCCGATTATCACACTCTAGCAGTCAAATATTCCAGAGTTTTGTAAAGTGGTAAAACCATCTGGAGATATAGGCGTCGGATTAATACAAATAGAGAACTATGACAAAAGGATCGATGCGCGATGAATTCCGTTAAAACTGTTCAAGTGATTATGAGAATTAGAGAAACAATGAGCGGAGTGTGAAAGAGATGAATATCCAAAGATAAACTGGACGAAAGAGAACAAAATTATCATCGACATCATAACACGGTCACATGGAACAGGGCTACCACGTTACCCTTTGATCTAAACCACAGAGCTGTAACGGTGGGGTCGCGGACTTTAGCTTAATAGGAAGCAGATGAAAAACACTCCGCTGACAACTTCATGCTTAAGTTGATGCCGCAAATCACATGCATCTTAAATGCAGTTGGGCTACATCAACTTACAGTTAAACAAGATTTCCATGACCTGGATAAAAAGCATTCCACTTTTTTGATTTGCTCAGTTGTGTTATTCAATTTCATATTTTGAGTATTTATTTCATTACAAATTATGCGTTGGTTGTTTGATATCCTCCGGTGTGGCTCAGCTTGCGCTGAATGTTGACAAAATGCCTGCCTGTTTTACCCCTTCTATCTCGATTACTGACTCCAGGAGACTGTTAGTCGTAGGTGAGGGACGGGGTGCAAGATTATTGCGACACTACTGGGCTCAAAGGATGCTTCCATCTAATGTGGAACCGGCTACGGCCCAAACAGAGCAGGATCCGTTGATACAACGTGGTTCCCATCCACGCTCGCTGGCTTATTCCTTCGGGTTTCCATTGGATATTACATGTGTGGATAGGGCTGTAACTGGTGAAGCGCCACCCACCCATGGTCTCTGTGTAAGCGCAGGCGTCCTGTGGCTGTCCAATGGAAGCAGTTGTGACACGTAAAACCGAAACAGGATGTAGCTAACGATATATATATATATATATATATATATATATCTTGCATTCATGATGCTTCTTCACCGCAGTTGGGCTAAACCAACACAGTCCAACTAGATCTTTTTAAGAGGGATAAGGTTCACTTCACTTTATTTGGCTTTTTCTGTGTACCTCATAATCTTCTCCTAACTTGTACACATTGCTCATGCTAATTGTGGTAAACTTGAGTAGCTATATCACGTGGTATTTTTTAAATAACTTTCGGACATGTCGTACTTTTCGCGGATTCGCTTATAACCAACTTACTCCATATGCTCATTTAGCGAGTATTTATTTTCTCATATAGGACTTTTTCGATTATATTTGATATCACTATTTTGAATGATTAGCTGTTTGACATCCCATGTGTGGCTGTGCTTGATGTGAATGTTGACAAGGTGCCTACCTGTCTATTAACCACAACCTCATCCACATTGGCTCTAGGAGACAGTTGGTCGTTGCTGGAGGGGACGGGGTGCACGGTCGGTGTGACCGTGTTAGGATCAAGTAGTGGTTCCATGCACTCAGTGTGTAGCGGACTACGGTCCAGTCACCGTCTTGTGTGCATTTGATTCCCCAAATACAGTGTGCTTGTGTTTGCCTGTGAAGGAGTGTGGGCCGGCTCCGTTGATGAAACGTGGCGCCCATCCACATGCCTCCCGGTCTTATTCCTTTGGGTTTACACTGAATATGGGGTGTGTGGATGGAACTGCGGGTAATGCAGCGCAAGCCATCCTTGGTCCCTTTACAGGCGCAGGCATCCTGTGGCTGTCCTTCTGAAGGCCACAGTGACAGTCAAATCCGAAACCGTATGCCGCGAACCATTATATATATATATATATATATATATATATATATATATATATATATATATATATATTCCCGTGTGCAGACGATGCAGTATTTGCTGCACATGTGGCAGACCCCAGTGACTTGGGGAAGAAGAATCAGTTCCGCAAACTTCGACGGCGACTGACCCGAGTGGTCCGTGACATTAAAAATGCATGGTGGACGTAGAAGTCACACAGATATAATGCTACGCCGAACGCCGCCAACACAAGGAATTCTTTGACTCTTTGAAGGTGGTGTATGGACCGAGATTAGAGTCGCTGAGGACGCTGACCGATCGTTGTTCAGGCGCTACCTGCACACAGACTGCAGACATGATGCAGATCTGGCGGAAACACTTTGACTGTCTCTTGAACAACCGTTCAAAGATCGACTGGCCTACTTTGAATGGCCTGAAAGAGCGCGATGTGAAGGCGAGTCTGGCAAACGCTTTGACACTGAATGAGACGCACAGAGCACTTGTTCAGCTGCGAAACGGCAAGTGTGCCAATCCCGGTGAAAACCCGCATGAAGTATTAAAACACGGCGGACCTGCGTTGATGTCCGCGCTGCACCACTTGGTGCAACGCGTGTGGGTTGAGGAGGAGGTGCTCCAGAGCTGAAGGATGACCTTGTGCTACCACTGCACAAGGGCAAAGATAGCAAGCAATGTGCCACGAATTATCGTGGTGTCAACTTGCTGAGTTGTGTGGGCAAGGTGATTGCCTGAACCCTGCTCAACCGTCTCGTCAGTCAGGTGGCGGAAGAGTAATTTGGATTCCGTTCGGGTCGCAGCACTGTAAATATGGCGTTTGCGGCTCGACAGTTGCAGAAGTGCAGAGAACGACACCAGTCACTGTACTCGCTTTTTGTTGATTTCACCAAGGCATTTGATACGGTGAAATGCAGGGCATGGTGGCTGGTGTTGGGTAAGTTTGGTCGTCCGAGTAAATTTGTATGCAGGCGAGGGTGCAGCTGAGTGGACAGACCTCGGATGACTTTGCAGTTGTCTCTGGTGTGAAGCAATGCTGTGTCTTAGCTCCTGTCCTGTTTAATATTTATCTTCATGCAATGACGTCTTGTGCTTACGGTGTTCGTGTGGAGAACCATACTGACGGTGGGTTGCTGAACATCCGTCGTTTCGGTGCGACAACCTTAGTCTGTGAGACAACTATCCGCATGTTGCTGTTCGCTGACGAATGTGTGTTGTTTGCACACAGCGCGGATGAGTTGCAGCACATGACTAAGGCTCTGGCATCGACAGCGGCCAAATTCGGGCTCACCATCAACACAAGCGAAACTATCTGTCGCTTGCAGTGTTCACCGGAGGTGCAATCTTTGGTGCAAACTTTGTGATAGATACTTTAGCTCGGATTGTGATGAAGATTACACGATGTACAAGGAACAGCGTAACTCATGTAACGCCGCAAAGATCAAGAAGCGCCGACTGTTCGAAGAGGAGCTAGCATCCTCGGCCACAACTGCACCGAAAAGAATATTTGTCTAGTTGAATCGTCAACTGAAACCTGGGGGCGACCTACCGGTCTTAGAGATTGAACGGACAGACGCACATTTCAAGCGCGGAGGGTGCGAACGCTTTGGCTACGCAGTTCCTCACCGTATTTTCTAGTAAATCGGCGGCTGTTCCAGTACCGGCACAAGTTGCCCCAGTCTTGCTCGACAGCGTACAATGTGATGCAGTCGAAGTTTATAAGCTACTCGTCAACCTCGATGGTGCAAAGCCCGCCGGACCAGACGGACTTCACCCACTAATACTTAAGTCCCTATCGATCATCATCTCACCAGTCGTGACAAACCTATTCAATAAACCACTCTCTGAAGGATCTGTCCCTAACGACTGGAAATGCTCGATAGTGAGACCGCTTCCCAAGGGTGGTGATCCGAGTAGAGAACTATAGACCGATTCGTTTGACTTCGATATTATCCAAAGTTCTTAAGATGGTGAGAAAGTCTCTGCTGTCGTTCTTCGAATCGATGGACGTTTGACGCCAGCGCAATACGGTTTCCCGAAAGAACGATCTTACAACAACAACTTGATGTACGCAAATCACCAGTGGGTACGAGCTCTCAATGAACGGAAGGAGGTTGACGTGGTGTGCATCGACTTTAATAAGGTGTTTGACAGAGTGAACCACGATGTAATCCTTCGTAAACTGAGGACATACGGAATCGGTGGCACGATACTTCAGTGGTTACACGAGTTTATTGTAAGGCGAAAGTTTAGAGTACAAGTCAATGACTATCTGACAGACCGGTTCCCATCGACCAGTGGTGTGCCTCAAGGAACTGTATTTGGGCCAGTATTATTTCTTATTCATATCAACGATCTTCCGCAGCAGCTCCAGTCACCATGTGCCCTGTTTGCAGATAAGTTGAAAAACTGGGGGATCATTGAGAACCAGGACGACTGCGCTCGCCTCCAGCATGACTTAGAGCGACTGCCAACGTGGTCCACTGAAATGCAACTTCTTCTTAACGCAAGCAAGTCGGAGTTCATCAGTATCACTAGACGTCCGGCCACCCGATCATACACCTTGGATGGCCGGTTGCTCCACCCTAACACATCTGTCAGAGACTTAGAAGTGTTCTCACAACATGATATGTGATCACTAGAAAATACAAAGAAATTGTATAGTGTGGGACTTCGTGTGCTCTGGGCATTATGACGCAGTTTCTCTACATGGTCCGAAGTAACCGTCCCACGCATATTCACCTCACACATTAGATCAATCCTTGAATACGGCGCCCCAGCTTACCATCCGATAACCCAATGGGAAACTGAAAAAGCTGGAGAAAATACAGGACACCGCGACTAGAA